ATAAAAAAAAAAAAAAAAAAAAAGTCTTTTTGACTTGAGGATAGTATTTTCAATCTGTTTTTCTACCTCCAAACTCCACTCTTCACTGGGCTGATCCCAGGCCTCAATGAACACAGAGTACAGAGAGGAGCAGGTGAAGTGTCACTGCCTAGCATTCATCCATCTGACTGATGTGAAGGCTCCACCATCGGGCACACCACGTGAATGCGAAGACCTTAGTTACTGTGGCAACCACACACTTCCACAGCCAGCTGCTGAGTGGGGGAAATCAGGCCTAGCACTCCTGGGGCAGCAGGCAGAACAGGCCCAGGAGCTCAGGAGAGGAGCGAGAGCCCTGCCTGCTCCCTCCACAACGCACACTCGTGATGGCTCCTCTCACCTAGCATTTTCCCCTGCACACTAAGACCCGAACCTCCGAGCGACGCACTGACCGCCCTCCTTCCTTCTGAGCAAGCCCACGGCCTGCCTCTGTGCACCCGCTGGAAGGTCACTGTGCCTGGGTCCTCATCCTCCCTCCTCTGCCTCCCGCACGTCAAGGCAGCCCCACAGCCCCTGGTCCCCGGGGAGAGAGGACCACCCACCCGCATCACCAAGGCAGGGGCCCCTCAACCAGGGAACTCACGAGGGGCACAGGTCTGTGGCTCCATTCTCTGAAGAGCAGCACCCACGACAGGACAACCTTACATTCCTTGGACTATCAAGCCCGCAACCTGCTGGCCTCAGAACACAGCGTGCGATGGGAAATGAGGCCAACGGAGGGGCCGGCCCCAGGCCACACAGCAGGGTGGCAGCAGAGCCAGCAACAGAACTCAGAGCCCGGGGCCCAGACCCATCCCATTACTCTCTGAGCCACCCCCGCCGTGACACCACGAAATGAGGAGAGAAGCGGTCCACGCGCTGACCTTGCGAACACCACTTCCCCGCCTCCTGTCTGTCATGAGGTTCTCGGTGAGGACTCTGGGTGCAGACACACAGTATCCAGCACGGCCCTGACTGCTTCACAGGTGGCTATAAACTCCACCCCGTATGTTAAGCCTGTAAATCCATAAATAAGGGGGGTCTTTCGGACTTATATTTTTGGTACAGGGATTGAACTCAGGACCTTGCAGTCTGAGGAAGGGTGCAGTGCCACTGAGCCAAACCCCCGTCAATAGGGTTTTTTAAGGAATGGATAGACCTGGCAGTACCAGTGGAGGTGAAGGCAGTGCTCACATTAGTGGCCACTGGGACACTTGACTGAATCAGTCCCGTGGTGGGCAGCCTGGTGCACAGAAGGTCCCACACTGGAGACAAGGGTTCCAGTCCCGGCCCTGCCACAAGCAACGTGAGACGCTGGGCCTCGGCCTCCCGTTTGTAAACGGAGTGGGTTACAGCCTGGGCCAAGCCCCTGCCAGGTCTAAAATCACGATACCACAAATTAACAGAACTCACTGGTAAAGTAAGAACCATGCTTCTGGAATTGGAAATTTAGCACAGAGCACAGACAACGCCCACACCGTTAGGAATCTAGGAAGCAGACGGTTCGGCAAAGACCACGACTTACTTGCTCGACCGGGGCACCACCATCTCGGCCAGCGTCTCATACTGCTTGATCCAGTCATTGTGGTTCATCCTGCGGGAAAGGCAGGGTCAGCCCCAAGCGGAAGACCAGGCCCGTACCCAGAAGAGAAAAATCAGGGGGCAGACAGGAAGTGCACCACAGTGAACAAAAACAGTCAGGCTTCCCGCTGAGAACTTTCCAATACACGTGTGTGCCGGCAGCAGGGTCAGCCTCAAGTCCAGCAGCTGCTGCTCAAGCGCACAGCCGAGAAGCGCGCTGGGAGAGGGCGACCACACAAAGTCTCCCAGCTCTCTGGTGCTAAGTGTGGTGCCTTGGGTCAATTTAAAAAACAGCCCATACCCAAATCACTGTCACTTCTGACCACGGCCAGGATGAAGGGCTGAGTCCCACTCTATCTACAGAAAGCACAGAGGGGGCCAGGGATTGAGCTCAGTGGTTCCGCCACCTGCCTTACAAGCACAAGGACCTGAGTTCCATTCCCAGAACCAAAAAAACCAAACAAACAAAACAAGCAAGCACAGAGGACAGGAAGCAGAAGTAACGAAGTGACGGTCACTATGTCGGCAGAGGCCCCCGGCCCTGGGTGCGGGGAGACAGGCCAGGACGGAGTGACACAGCACGTGTGTTCCCACGGGCAGGCCCCGCATTCCGGCTACAAGGTAGAGAACTATGAAAAGTTCTGGTTTAAACAGCAAGTTTAAGTCTGAATGAGACAGACATACAGGCAAAGGAGACTTTCCTGCACAGTGTAAGTGCGCAGACACAAAGAAATGTATTATAGATAGGGTTCCAAACAGCAGAACATTGTGACTACAACACAAAACCAAAGGAAAGTAAAACCCCACATAATTCTGTAGCCTGTGAGCCCCGCAGAGGTGCTTTCCAGCACTCAGGCCCCTAAGCAGATCAAACTGCGAAGCTTCAAAGTCGAGGAGGCTTCCTGCAATCAAGCTCTGAAGACCCCCAAGTCTCCCCACAGACCCAACAGCCAGCGGGCTTCAAGATGCGACACCGCTAACAGCCTCACGGTCTCCAGCTTCGATCTGCCCGCGTGTCCGCGAGCTTCGTTTCACCAAAGCTGAGCGAGCACTGCCCGAGGAGCCGAACCAGAAGCCCTCTGGGTCTGCGGCCCACGGGTGCACAGCCTGTGTCTGGGAAACGAAGTTCTGAAAACAGGCCCCTCCTACTCGCCCCACGCCTTCTGCGGGAGCTCCAGCCACAGGCTGACACTAACACGCAGCCGGCAAGGTCAAAAACACCTGCGAGTCCAGCTCACGATACTTTCTGCCAGGGCCTGCACAGAAAATAACCTGCCTTCCCTAATCTAGTCTTCTGTAGGGCTAGTCCTACGATTTCCAGAAAAACAAATCAAAAGATTTTCCTAGTTTGAAAAATCGTAAATCTGTTTTTGAAAAGTCCCACTCATTTAGTGTTTTTGGTTAGTGAGCTGATTCTATCACTCTCGTTATAACTGTGTCTCCACGGGCAGGTTAAGAACTAAATCCCGCCACCGTACAAGCCGCACGAGGAAATGCTGGTGTCCGGTCATGCTCCTTTTCCATATTTCTTTTTTCTTGAAAGCTCCAAACTGCAGTACCAGGTACTGACATCGAGCCTGCACTTTAACAGGGAGACACATACTTGGGGACGACCACCAGTAGGGTGATGAGATACTCCGAGTCAAGAACAAAGTCATCCTTCTTCACGATTTCCGCCAGGCTTCGAGTCAGCAAACTTCCCCTGAGGAGAAAAGGGAAGGACCATGAGGACCAGCTTCTGGCACACAGCAGAGAAGAGCGGGTCACCACCCCGAGTGGGGTCCGGACCCCTAACACTCCCGCCATCAAGGAGCCCTCAGCCACGCCCGTGCTACCCTCCGACCAGCGATTCCTGGCGTCCACCTCTGCCCGCTGCATTTACCCCAGCTCGGCTCTCTCCCCGAAGACCATGACCTCATCAGACTGCGACATTCCGTCATCTAAGCATAACCTGCGGGTTTTCCACACCTCCTGGCGCTGGCTGACACCAGCAATTTTGGTCATTTCACCCCCTCATCAACACTTTCCCCAGTCTCTGTCTGGCCTTCCAGGAATGACGGTCCCAGGACGGCAGCGTCCTGACCTGCTCTGGCACGATAGCCCCAGGCCACCTTGGTCTAGGCTGTGTGGCCAACCTCCAGGGCGCGGGCCATGCTGCGAGGTCCTGCACAGCAGCGGGGCCTCCTGAGCGACACAGCCTCGGGGCGTGTCCAGCGATACATCAAGGGGTAGAGGGCTCGGTCCACGAGCAGCATTTATGAGATAGTCAATCAGCCTCGCCTGTTTCTGGCTGAACTCTAGGAACTGATATTAATGAACTTCCTCCAGCAAACTAAAACCAGTACCAGTGATCACAGACACGGCCAGGCTGGTCCTGATCCCTCTCCCCGCTCCCCCTGAGCATCACAAACGCTCGCTCCTCAGCCTACGCGTTCTTTCGCTCCAGGTTCTGCAGATTCCCCTTCAGGTTGTTGTATGCGGATGCACGGGATTTCAGGTCATTATCGATCTGTGTAACTCCCTTCAAAACAGAAAATGGTTAAACACAGGCCAGATTTCCAAAGCTGGTCCCCACTAAAATAATTAAAATAGCTGAACTTTAACAACTACAAAAAATACCACCAGTTCCTCATGTAAGAACATCCTAGTGAAAGTACACTAAAGGGTCATTTTAAAAACCACCTTCATTTTTAACAGGATAATTTCCATATAACTGCTTTCTACTAATGTTTCACTCTACATGCATTACAATTATTATTATACATATTACAGTTTTTCTCCTAGGGGGGGCTGTAGGGAACAGGGCCTCAACCATGGAATCCAGGCCAGCCTTGAACCTGTGATCCTCCCGTCTCAGCCTCTCCAGTTCTGGCCATGTTACAAGCCTGCCATAGTATTGCTATTTTACTTTCAAATTCACATAAACAGGCTGCAAGCCACTGGTTTGAAGATGTCTGATTAAAAGGTTTCAATTCACAAAGGTAGAAGTTGAATTCCCAAAAAGAACTAAATTATAGCGTTTTCACTGTCATAAATTCCACTATTATGTAAGACATTTTCTCAAAGCAATAAAAATTGTTAATGAATTTGTAAGTGTTACAAGGAGAACTAAAATCATTAACTGCTTAGCAAGAAAGGCACCAGGTTGGTTTGATTAATGTTTGAGATCTGGCTTGGACTCCGCTCTCCCCTGGCACTGGGGTACAGGGGTACAGGGCCAGCCCTCAGCCTGAGCCTGTCCGCTCACCCACAACTGTACCACAGGGCAGAGGCTGGATCGATCCCTGTTAGGGACCCAAAGAAAACAAGTTTGGCTGCAGCAAGAGCACTTAATAGTGTCAAGCTACTCAGTCTTTAAATTACATGATGAAGGCTGGGTGTGCCAGTACACACTTGTAATCCCAGCTCTCAGGAGGCTGAGGCAGGAGGATCCCTGCCTGGGTTATATAGTGAGACCCTATCTCAGAAAGAAAGAATTCTACAATGACTTCAGTTACAATCCTTAATAGTCTACACATTTCCATTTAACTAAAGTCAGGAAACAAAGAAGTCTGTTTATCCAATAACTTAACCCACCCTCCCTCAGCCAGATTGGCAGGCATCGGCAACATTCAGGAAGTCCTGTCTGTCTGTCTTATTACAATTTCTGTTAAGACTTTTACACTTTCTCTCAAATTTGAAGACTTCCACTATCGTGAAAGGGGACTGAACCCCTTCCTGCTGAGCTATATACCCAGCCCATTTTCCTTTCTTATTTTGAGGCAGGGTCTCGTTAAATCGTTAAACCATCTAGGCTGGGCCTGCCGGAGTCTGGGAGGTCTAACATCTGAACACCTGCAACACCTAAAGGTGAGGCGGGGCGCGGAGGGGCACCTCTGCCCTATGAAAAGCTGACCAGCATTTCAGCCACTGCCGATCAGGGAGCCCCCGTCACGACGCTGCTCTCACCTTGGCAATTATCTCGGAAATGTTCTTCAGAGACTGCTTGATGGGGTACTTGGCCATGTCCCACTGGAACCTCGTTATGTAAGTGACCAGATCCACTGCAATGAGGGAACAAACTCACCACATCTTTTCTTGCACAGCAATGCCTTTTAATGCCCAAACTGACATCAACAAAGATGTCGCTTCTGAGGAGTGCTGGTTAAGTAACAGCTCTGGCTCGTGACGAGTCCCCTTCTAACATGCTGAGCGGATACACAGCATATGTATACACTCACCACACACGTCATGGAGGGGAAAGGACACAGACTGCTTCTAACTGGCTCTGTGATAAACTTAACGACGTTAAATTTACTGTTCTTCAACAATGTCCTCAAACAAACTAAAGAGGAACTTGTCTGTTAACACCAAGTAGGGGCCATTTCTACACTTTAGCAACCTGCAAAATGTGGACGCTTTTACTTTCAAATGGAGAGGAAAATAAATGTAAAGCCAAAGGGACGCTCGACGCCAAAGTCCCTGGAAGCTTAAAGATCAAAGCAACTGCACCCGCAAGCCAGCAGGACCAAGGCCAGGAGCCCACGTCAGGCGCACCAGAGCTGACCGAGCCAACAGCACAGATACTTGCACAAGCAGCTTTAGACGCGCTGCCCCGCATTACCACCTCCACAGCAACACCGCAGTGTGCAAGATACCTACATCAGTAAAGGGGACATAAATTAACATATCGGCCTTCTACTCTGTCCTAAAACACAAGGTAATAGAAACAGTAAGCAATTAGATCAGGATCACTAGCATAACAAAAAGTAAAAATAAATTACTATATTTTTTAACCAATTAAATATTTATTGAACATCTATTATTTTCAAGGAGAAGAAATGAGATTAGAAGGATACTGGATTTGTTTGTTTGTTTGTTTGTTTGTTTGTTTGAGACAGGGTCTCGCTATGTAGTTGAGACTGACCTGGAACTCACTATGCAGCCCAGGCTGCTGTCGAACTCACAGCGATCCTCCTGCCTCAGCCTCCGGAGTGCTGGGATTACAGGCATGCACCACCACGCCTGGCTTTTTTTTTTTTTTTTTTTTGGTACTGGGGATCAAACTCAGGTCCTGGTGCTTGCGAGGCAGGCCGAAGAACCACTGAGCTAAATCCCCAGCCCCCAACATTAGATTTTAATAAACAGATCTTACCATTGCAGGCAATACTATATAAAATATAGATAGAATGAATGAAAAGGAAGTGAAAAGGGTTCCTTCCTTTTTAATGGCATATCATTTAAGAGGGATCTAACTGAAAATGAAGCAAAGTCGTTAAAAAATAATTTCAGGTAAAAATGACAACTGTGAGATCAGTCACCTTTAGGAAGCCGTTACCACAGAGCAAACCGTAAATATCAGCCTCTAGCTAGAGACATCAGTAACTATTTTTATGGGTACATGAAAAGCAATACTCAGATTTGAGGGGAAGAGGCAGCACTCTGCAATAAGATTAATGAATCCAGTTCCAGAGCTTCAACGGTTGGATGCCATGAATGCAAGATGCTAAAGAACACAGCTGCTACCAACACAAACGATGCTGAGATTCGTAACTGGGAAGCTGACTCGGAAACATGAGGCTTTACAGCGAGCTAACGCGAAGCTGTGAGCTGTGTCATAAGCTGTTGCAGGGGACAGGGTGTAACTGGCAATGTCACCAAATTCAGTCATAGCAACTATATTTTATTGGCTTTCTGCTGTACTTAACACCCTCATCCACAGATTTACAGTGGACCCTCAAGCTATGACTGGGTTACTGGGTTACGACTGGAATTTTAGTTTTAACTTATGACCAAAGTCTTCAGCTCTGACGAGAATGCCGGCCACTTCCAGATGGTCTCAGACACAGATTTAACCCTTACACAGTTGTGAAGGAACATGACAGCACCCTTTCCTGTGTGGGGCTCACTGAGAAATGCTGAGATCGGCCTGTGTACAGGAGAGAGACTGAAGGCGGTGTGGAGAAGCCTGCATCTTCACTGACCAGCCCGAGTTACAACCAGCCCTCGAGAGCAAACTGAATTCCTAAGTCAAGTCACAATGCGTAGCGAGGTCACTGGCTTCGCCAAGTTCACAGTGGTCAGTCACGAGCCCCTGGCTTACCTCCATTGGCCAGCAGGTTCTCCTGCACTTTATCTCTACTGTCCTCCAAGACGTCAGCCATGTACTGGGCCACCTTCTTCACCACGCTGCGGGGTGAGAAACAAAGCCATCGTCACCATTTCAGGGGAAAGGGACTTTGCACTCAGGCTCTCCAGCAGACAAAGCACACGAAGACACAAACTCGACTCCACACTCCAACTGCCCATGTCCAGGAGACACGGCGCCCCTCTTCCACCTACACTGCAAGGACAAAGTGGAGCAGGTTTGTCACCTGGAGAACCGGAGGCTTCATGCGAACACACCAGCCTCCTTAGCCCACAGGAAAACATGGCAGTGGGAAGAGAGACCCGGGGACCAGCCGAGTGGCACGTGGGAAGCCCGACAAGGGCTCTGCCAATGACTGCACGCCAGACACGCGCGGTCACTCAGGCCGTGAGGACGGGACAGCGAGAGTCCCACGCACTCTGTTGTCCACTGAAGAAAGCAGTGACAAACGGCAGACTCCCAGGTCAGACCTTTCATTCTCTTCCCTCTGTGAGACACCAAGGTGCGAGGAGAGGAGGGACTCGGCCCACGCCACCGACACAGGCTCCACTCCACCGGGGTCCAGGACCCAGCTCCGCCTCTCGGCCTGGACTTCTCTCAGAATCACACCAGACAAGATCACCGCCTTCACGCTGCTTGCAGTCTAACTGAGGAGAGGCAAAGATGCCCAAGGGCACCCGCCTCGCCGGCTGAGGACAGCTACTGAGGCTACACACAGCAGCATGAAGGGAAGGGGAGCATCCCAGCTATGGCAACCAAGGGACCGCAGTCGTCCAGGACAGGATGGGACAGGACACACTGAAGGCTGCGTGCTCAGGCGGGAAGGTCAACCGAACACTTGGAAGTATAAACATCAACAGCAAGGGCCAGAAAGGATGACCAAGGGCTGCAAGGACAATATTACACTGGGTGACCCTGGTCCTGGAAAAGCAGAACCACTTCAGACACAATGATGCAAGCACTAGAGCCTCACCGCGCTTAGCCAGGGGGCCATGGACCCTTGGGGAACCTCCAAGACCTCCCTGTGCACCTCTCAGAATAGCTAAGTCAGGAGTGGTGGCACACAGCTGTAATCCCAGCACTCAGGAGGCTGAGGCAGGAGGATCATGAGTTCCAGGCCAGCCTGGGCTACACAGTGAGTCTCAAAAAGTTTAAAAAAAAAAAAAATTTATCTAGACCAATGTACACAGCCACTTCAAAATATACTGTTCTAATGATTAGACTTCTGAGACAATATAAACTATGACACCATATGCCATCACGTTCAGGCTTGGAAAGCTGGAACAGCTAAGCCAGGAAGCTAGAACGTGTCCTTCCACCAAGGCCAAACACTACAGGCTGTCAAGTCTCTCGATCCTTCGGGCTGACTGTGGAAGACAATCAGGGCCACAACTGCATGGGGTCCCAAGTGCACCACGCCCAAGTGCCCAGGCTCCAGCCACGCTCGGTACAGCCAAAGCCCATGCCGAAGCCCTCAGGGAGAGGAACAGAGGCCTGGGTGTCACACCGGCCTCTGCATCCCTAGGGGCCTGCCTCCCTGGTGTCTCTCTGAGAGTCAGAGCCCAAAGCTGTAAGGACAGAAGTGACCCCAAGGAAGACAGCCCCTCAACAGGAGACTCAGGTCTCCTCAGCACTCTTCTTAAAACACTCAGAGGCCCAGCATGCACACAGCCCTGGGCTTAATCCCTAGCACCCAAAACACAAGAAGGGAAAGGAAAACAATCCCTACAATCAGGAAACCAAAATACCACCCTTTCTATCAGCTCAATCTTTGAGTATATCATCAATAATTACTCTCACTGTGTATAAAAACTCAGCATTATTTGCTCTATGTGAATACATGAATTACAACCCCAAAAGTAACTGTTTCCTTCATTTTCTCCATTCTAATGGCAAAGTGCCAGGCCTCATATGAAGCTTTTACTCTTGACTAATTTCCTGTAAAACTGTCTCCTACAGGGAGTTTTTGGTTTTGTTTCTTTGGGTTTTTTTGGGGGGTACTGGGGATTGAACTCCAGCCCTTGTGCTCGAGAGGCAGGCGGTGGCACCACTGAGCCAAATCCCTGGCCACGGTCTTCCTGCCTCCAGTGTTAAAGACCATCAACACAACACTAGGTCTGTTTACTTCCTTACCAGTTATGTTAAAAATTTTCTCTAGCTGAGCATGGTGGTGTACACCTACAATCCCAGCACTCTGGGAGACTGAGGCAGGAGAGGTCCAAATTCAGGCCTAGCCTGGGCAACTTGGTAAGACCTTATCTCAAAATTTAAAAATTAAAAGAAAAAAAAAAAGAAGCTGGGCATGGTGGCTCATGTCTATAATTCCAGCACTTGGGAGATGAGGCAGGAGGATTATCACCAGTTTGAGCCCAGTACAGGCTACATAGTCAAAGCTAGCCTGAACTACATAGTAAGACCCTGTCTCAAAAAGCCAAAAAAATAAGGAAAACAAACAACCAAACAAAAAGCTGGGGATGTAACTCAAAGCAAAGGTTCTGAATTCAATCTCAATACAGAGAAAAAAAATAACAATCATTTTTCAACCCTGACCTCAGCCTCTATGGAATATAAAAACACAGATAAATGAAACAACTTAGAGTCCAAAAAGCTGTGCTTTATAGAACACGATAAAAGCAATCACCAAGCACAGAGGCACATACCTGTGACCCCAGCACTCAGGAGGCTGAGACAGGAGGATCACTGCGAGTTCAAGGCCAAACTGGGCTACTCAGTAAATTCAAGACCAGCTTCAACTACATAGAGGAACCCTGTCACAAACAGACAAAAAGCGCCGGGTGTGGTGGTACACGCCTGAACCCACCACTCGGGAGGCTGAGGCAGGAGGATCGCTGTGAGTTTGAGACCAGCCTGGGCTACATTGTGAGTTCTAGGTCAGTCTCAACTACATAGTGAGACTCTGTCTCAAAAAATAAAAAACACAACAAAACAGACAAAAATGATGACTCCACACAGAATTCAAGAAAACGTCTGCAAGTCAAAGCTGTTAAGGGACTTATATTAGAATATGTAAAGAATGCTAACAATTCAATAATGAAAGACAAATAAACTAATTAAAATGGGCAAAGGTGCCGGGAATTTAGCTCAGTGGTTCCACTGCCTGCCTTGCAAGTGCAAGGTCCCAAGTTAGATCCCTGGTACCAAAAAAAACGTACTTAAAAAAAAATAGTATAGGTAAAATGGGCAAAGGATCCAAAAAGACTTTGCCCCATGGAAGAACACACACATACACCTGTGGCTGTACAAAAAACAATTGGACACTTTAAACAGGTGAGCCGCACAGAGTGTAAATCCTGTCTCGGTAAAGGTATTAAAAAGAGTATTTTTCACACTTCAAATGTACATTTTACTGTATATAAACTGTTCCTTCATAAAATAGATTTACAAAGAGAAAAGCCATCACTTCCTAAAAGCGCTCGGCCAGCAGTGAGTCTGTGCGGCGGCCCGGGCGCAAGTCAGCACCTTACCCTTCCACGAACGCGTCCAACTTCGCCAGCTCATCCGACAAGCCGACCAAGACATCCAGTGTGCCCACCTGCAAGAGAAAGGGGCCCGCAGTCACTCGTGTTCTCCCTTCCTTCACACGGAGATACAGCCTGGGCTGAAGGGCCGCAGTCTCAAATTCTCCACGCTTTACTTCACTATTCGCCAGTGTGGTCAAAAGCTGCTTACCAGACATTTCAAACCCTATTTCTGCACACAAACTAACCCTCTCGTTCACAGACACGGGCGCCAGCCAGCACACCAGGACCCGTCACAGCAGGCCTGGGCCTGGGCTACACAGGGACAATGGTCAGCCCAGCGCTCGCTTAGAACAAGGCCTGGAGCGGGGCCTGCAGCTGAAGGTGTACAGATGTGTGCCCAACTGTGCAAAAATGATCACACACTGGAGGAAACTCCCTGTCCACAGGAATCCCTAACCCCAGATCATGCTGGTGACTTAGTATTTCTTCAGCGCGTGTCACAGCCGGCTGGCAAAACACAAACTTCACTGACTTCCGCTCCTGACAGGAGTCGGTCAGCATACCACCGGGGCCTGCTTCCTGCCTGATTTCGGGTCTTCCACGCATGTTTCACAGAGCAACTGGATTAAACTACCAGGTAGGCGCCGTGGTTAACACTGGCAGTGTCAGCAGAATGTGAAACACAAAAACAAACTCACTGGTACTTTAAAAACTGCATTCCTTACATTTTCCCTTTTTGGCAGCCATATTTTTGGATATGTATTTTCATAGGATTTTTCTCACTGCAATTTAGGGAGCCGCCGAAGTTGCAGAGGAAAGGGTAGCTAAACCGGAACACCTCCGAGACGGCACAGTTTAAATCCTGTGAGGCCAGAGGGAGGGCGCTTCTGAGGGAACCAGGACACCACGCTTCTACCAAGAGGGTCCTGGGCCTCTGCTCCCATGGGCGCAGCTCACCTTCAAGTCAGGGATGCTGAACTTGGACGTGGCAGCAAGGTTGTTGCTCTTGGTGGTGGCCGCGTGCAGCTTCTCCCATGTCTGCTGACAGGTCTTCTCCCCAGGAGCCGAGATGAGCCAGAACTCAGTCATGCTCATCACCGAGTGCTGCTGCGTCAGAGCTCAGGACGGGGGCTGTGACACAGAACGATGCTTACTGTCACTTTAAAAACTGCTCCAGGGCTAGGGGAGTGATCAGTGTCCAGCCTTGCTATGACCTGGGTCTCAACTGTCCCCCCAAGGCCCCTACATCAGGGCTCTGGTCCCTTCCATGGCATCCCTGGGAGACGCCGGGCCTAGACGGAGGAAGTGCGGCCACTGGGGCCCTGCAGAGGGCGCCTGAACCCTGGACACCTCCCTCTCCCTGCCATTCCTGCTTTTGCTTTCTGAGCTGTGGTCTTACTACACTGCCTAGACAGGCCTGGAACTCCTGGGTTCAGGTGCTCCCTCCATGTCAGCCCGCCCATGCCTCTAGACCAGAAAAGAGGGCAGATGTGAGAAACTACGAAGAGGAGCTAGTGAAGAATAATCTAATGTTTTTTAACTATAAAACATCCTGAATAGGAACCACTCAGTAAGTGAGATTACCCATTCTGGTGCCATGGTCTCTATTCAGGTGTCTCCCCCCAAAACCTCCAGCAGGCAGAGTGGGGGCTCACAGCTGACTTGCTCCTGTTAGGAGGCGGGGCCTGGTGGGAAGAGACAGTTGCAGGGGCGGGGCCAGGCAGGGGCGGGGCCTGGAAGGATGCATCTCCCTCCCCAGTTCCTCCCTCTGCTCTCCTACAGCAGATCCCACCACAAGGGCTTGCCTCGGAGCCAGTGGGCTACAGAGGAAAGCGCTCAAACACCTGAGGCAAAATACCTCTCATCCCTTAAACTGTGGGCTCAGGTATTTGGTCCCAGCAAAGAGAAAGTCATTAGGACAACCAGGTACCAACAGTTCCCTTCAAGCAAATGAGTCACAGGTGTGTAGGTTCACCTTATACATCTCTAATACATACACCCAAGGGCCAGGGATTTAGCCCAGTGGCATGGCCCCCGCCTCGCAAGTGCAAGGTCCTTCCTGAGTTCAATCCCCGGTACCACAAAAACAAAACGAAACAACCAAAGTGGGAAAATTCCCATGTGCATAACTTTTCCATGTGAGAAAGTCTTAGTTAAATCAATGCATTCGAACAGCAGTCACCAAATACATTTGCCACAGGGGCCTAGCAAATTCTCTTGGGAATCACAGTGGGGGCTATTTCCAGTCCACACTCAGAAAGGACAAATGCCTCAAGTCCCTAAACATCCTTAGCTGTCTTCAAACATTTGCAATTTTGCAAAAGACTGTGCTTAACAGACCAGGCCTGGATGGCACCAAGACAGCCTCTGGCTCAACATGGCAGCCAGGGGGTCCGAGGCGAGGCCTCCAGCCACAGAGAGGACATTCACACGCAGCTGGGGCCGCTACCCATACTGCACTGACCACTCTTCTGCTGCCTGGTTTTTTCTGACTTAGTCATTTTAATTACGATATGGAATTCTATTATATAAATAAACCAAAATGTGCTGCCCATTTGCGTTCGGGAGCACTGCGAAATCTGCGTTTACTTCTTTGCTGCAGCCCTGCCACAGCCAGCCTTCCTCCCCGCTCCACAGCTGGCGGCCAGGAAGCAGCGGCAGCCCCGGCTCTCCGGGACCAGACAGGCAACACAGGCAGAGCCGGGCCTGGAGGGGCACAGCTGCTGGTTTGGAGCCGCTGGCCTCCTGCGGGGGCAAGCCCAGGACCCAGGACCCACACCAGCCCAGCCGGCGGCCCTGGGGCAGGGGTAGAGCCCACTTCCACGGCGGAGCGCGGCGGCAGTGTGGGCTGTGTGCAGATGGGCACTGAGTGGAGACCATACTCCTCGTCGTGGACTTGTTTCTCCTTATTTTTTTCTCAGTTCTCATTTTCTGCGTATAGGGCTTGAACCCCGGACCTTGCATATACTGGGCAAATGCTCTGGCACTGACCTGCAACCCTAGAGTATTTCCTTAAGAAAAGCATCCAGGGCAGACGTGGCAAAACGTTAATGCCACCTGTTAAATTCTGAGTAGTGACTGTGTGGATGTCTGCTGTGCTATGGTGCTGGAATTTTGTGTTTATCTGAAACATTTGAAAATTAAGTATTTCTAAAACTTATGAGTGTAATTAATTTGAGTTAAAATATAATGCTGCTTAGTAAGAAAAAAAAGTCACATAGTATCATAAGAGCACAGAATAATCAAGCTAACTCCTGTGGGCCGACATCGCCAGAATTTCTAATTGGACAAAGTTTCATGGGCAGGCACTGTCCACCCCAGGACGCTCTCCTGTGGGAAAGCTGGAGGAAGCGTGGGCCAGCACCTGCTTCCGGGCCTTGGGCTCACCCCACACACACACCTGAGGGCCCAACAGGTGTCACTTCCTGGCTTCTGCCTGCTCTGCCCTCGGCTGTGCCCAGACCGCGGACTCCCACGAACATCCTGCCTGCCCGCCCACGCTTCCTGAATCCAGCTGTTTTAGCCCAAATGCCCATCTCAGGGCTACCCTGACCTTTACAATCTCCAGTTTGGCATCTTTAACTCCGTGTTAACCCACATCTCCCAAGGGAGCACAGCTGGGAGGAAACTGACGCTTTACTATACTGTTTTACTCCAGTGGTTCTGTGAATGCCCTGCGATAGCATTTCTATACCTCCTCTCTCCTAAAATGGCAGGTCGTGAGCTCCCTTACTGCAATCCTTCCTGCCAAGTCTAAATCTGTCTGTGCTGCAGCCCCTCCAGACTGAGCCATGACAGCAGATGTCACTGTCACATCATCGGAGTTCTAGCTTCTGAAAGGTTTCCAGAACCGGGACAGAGGACCCCACCTTCTTTTCTACGAAGAGCATCTGCACTTTTCTTCCATCACAGGAAATGGTGTCTGGTAAGTTCCAAATTAGGCAAGAGTCCTGCGTGCCTAGGGGTCATGGCGTTCTCCTACTCCAGCCTTTAACTAGAGCATTCTCTTGCTGGGAGATGAGGAGCAAAGGAAGTGTTCCCTTTGTTTTACAGACAACTTCACAATTCTCACAATGACCCTGAGACACTCAAACATCAGTCACCTACCAAAGGCCACACAGCTGATATGTGGGATTTTTGCTGTGCCACACTGGCAGAGTAGGCTCTGCCCACACTGGTCAAAGCTCTGGAGAGAGATCCACATATAACCTTGAGCCAGGCACGGTGATGCACACCTGTAATCCCAGCACTCAGGAGGCTGAGGCAAGAGAATTCCATGAGTTCAAGGCCAGCCTGGGCTACACAGCAAGACTTTGTCTCAAAAATCCCCAAAACACATAAACCACATATGTACTTGAAATCCCTCACCCAGGGCTGACTCCCAGGCCTACCCTTCAGGTCTCATTAATTCTACTAATGAAGGAAGGAATCGGGCTCTTTAATCTTTTCTTTTTCGGTTTTTTGAGACAGGGTTTTGCTATCTAGCTTAGGCTGGCCTAGAACTCACGACAATCTTCCTGGCTCAGTTTCCTGAGTGTTAGAATTATAGACATGCACCACCATGCCCGCTTCCTTTCCCTTCTTTTCACCCAGGATCATCACAGCAGCCAAGTGCCCTACCACTGAACTACATCACCAGCTTTCGTTTTGTTTTGTTTTTAAGCAATGCCCACTAAGAACAGAGGTCCACTAAGAACCTCTCACACAAGTCACTTAAAAATCATTTTTCTCTTTGAAATTTAAGAATTTAAGCCTAGTTCCAAACAAAATCCACCTCTGATGACTCTCAGAAAATGAACTTCAGGTTGCTGAACACATCTCCTTTTCTCTGAGCTGCAAGGAAACAAAGAAGTCACACTGTGGCCACTGTCACCAGCTCACCAGGCCGGCACGCCCCGCTCTCCCCTAGCTCCAGGTGACTCTGGCGTCTGATCGTGCACAAATCCAGGAAAACTGATTTCAGGGAAACACGACTGAGCTGCCCTCCTCTCCACCCAGGTCCTCACACATCCTCCTGTGTGTGTGCACGAGGGAGGGAGAGCTTCTCTCTCCTGATGATCTCCCTACCCTCGAGGCCACTGCTGACTGGATGCTGGACACTGGCCCAGCCCAGGTTCTCCAGACACAGCCAATAGCAAGTTCCTAATTCTGGCTAATGGGATACATCTGCCCACAGCTGGAAGTCCACTCATTCCCTCTGAAAGTTCTCAACAGTCCCAGCACTTTTCAAAAGTCCAAGTCAAAGCCCCATCTGAGACTCGAGGTAACTCTTAGCTGTGAAGCTCTGTAAGAATCAAAAACAAGTTCTCAAGCCTTAAAGTCCAAGTCAAAGCCCCATCTGAGACTCGAGGTAACTCTTAGCTGTGAAGCTCTGTAAGAATCAAAAACAAGTTCTCGCGCCTGGCATGGTGGCGCATGCCTGTAATTCCAGCACTCAGGAGGCTGAGGCAGGAGGATCGCTGTGAGTTCGAGACCAGCCTAGGCTACATAGTGAGTTCCAAGTCAGTCGCAGTGAGATCCTGTCTCAAAAAAACAAAAAAACATTAAAAACAAACAAACAAACAAAAACAAGTTCTCATAGTCCCAAGGTAAAACAGCACAGGGTAAACATTTTCATCCCAAAAGCACAGTGACAGAAAAGAACCAGATCAAAGCAAGACTGGAACCCAGCAGGGCAAACACAAAGTGCTGCAGTCCAGCCCCAGCATGGTAGTGAGGTGTGAGCTGCAGAGGCGTGGATGGCCCACCCCTATGGCCTGCGGGTCACAGCTCCAGTCCTGTCGGGGCGGGCTGTTCACAGCCTGCAGCTCTCCACAGCGACCTTCCACGCCCTGGCATCACGGTCATCCTGGGGTCTCCACTGCACTGCTCCGGCCCCACTGCCCTCTCTGGGGCTTGCCTGGCCTCCCAGGCCTTCCTCTGAAACCTGGGGGAAGCTTCTGTGACCCTACAACTCATATTCTGTGTGCCAGTGAAAACCAGCATCGACCTCGCTGTGGTACCAATTTTCTATACTAACAATCACATCCCTGGAACCAACTACCTGACACCCACAATTTAAATATGTGGCTCTTGGATTCAGAGGGTTCAGCCCATGGTCAGACAGCTCCGAGGCAGGAACACTGTAAGAG